GAAACTGTCAACAAGGTAAAGAGACAACCATCGAATGGGAAAATATTTTTGCAAACAACACCTCTGATAAGGGCCTAATATCCAAAATATACAAAGAACTCATATGACTCAATAACAACAAAAAACAAGCGATCCAATCAAAAAATAGGCAGAGGACCTGAACAGACACTTTTCTCTAGAGGACATACAAATGGCCAACAGATATATGAAAAGATGCTCAACATCGCAAGCTATTAGGGAAATGCAATCAAAACCACAATTTGATACCATCTCACACCTGTTAGAATGGCTATAATCAACAGGACAAGTAATAACAAATGTTGGAGATGACGTGGAGCAACAGGAACCTCATACACCGCTGGCGGGACTGCAAATTGGTACGGCCACTCTGGAAAACAGTATGGAGGTTCCTCAAAAAACTAAGAATTGACCTATTATATGATCCAGAAATCCCTCTACTGGGTATTTACCCTAAAGACTTGAAAACTCATATTCGAAAAGATATTTGCACACTGATGTTCATAGCAGCATTATTTACAGTGGCCAGGATATTGAAGCAAGCAAAGTATCCTACAATAGATGATTGGCTAAATAAGCTGTGGTATATATATATATACAATGGAATATTACTCAGCCGTAAGAAGAGATGAAATACTGCCATTTGCAACAATATGAATGGACCTTGAAATAATCATAAGGAAAATAAGCCAGACAGTAAAGGTTGAAAATCACATGATATCACATATGTGGGATATAAACCTAAAAGCAACAAATGAACAGGACAAGCAAACGGAGACTCATGGACATGCACAATGGACTAGTGGTTACCAGAAGGGAGGGGTGGGGAGAGGGGAAAAATAAAAAAATAAATTGTTAAAAAAAAATAAATAAAATTAAATCTGTTAGGGCAACAGTGATTAATAACATTATATGAGTTTCAAGTATACAATTCTATAATACATCATCTGTATATTGCTTTGTGTGCTCACCACCAAAGTCTAGTCTCCGTCTGCCACCATATTTGACCTCCTTTACCCTCTTCATTCTCCCCCCATTCTTCTTTCCCCCTGGTAACCACCATACTGTTATCTGTACCTACAAGTTTTTTATTTTTTTGTTCATTTGTTACTTTGTTTTATATACCACGTTTGAGTGAAACCATATGGTTCTTATCATTTTCCATCTAACTTGTTTTGCTTAGCATGATACTCTCAAGATTTATCGATGTTGTTGCAAATGGCAGTATTTCATCCTTTCTTATGGCTGAGTAGTATTCCATTGTGTATATGTACCACATCATCTATATCTAATCATCCCTCGAAGGACACTTAGGTTGTTTCCATGTCTTGGCCATGGATATAGGGGTATATACATCTTTACGAACACAGGTTTTCAAATTTTGGGAGAAAATAACCAGAAGAGGGATTGCTGGGTCATGTGGTTGCTCTATTCTTAATTTTCTGAGGAACCTCTATACTGTTTTTCATAGAAGTTGTACCAATTTACATTCTTACTAGCAATGTATGAGTGTTCTTTTTTCTCCACGTTCTCTCTAACACTTGCTATTTATTGTCTTATTGGTTTTTTCAGACTAGAAAATAAAATACAAAATTCTTGTCATGGCCCACAAAGCTCTGTAGATGGGCCCTGCCCATCTCTCAGACTTTGCTGCTTACCATTCATCCTCTCACACCCCCCACTAGAACATAAGCTCCAGAAGACAGAAATGTTGTCTGTGGCACTGATACATTCCCAGTGCCTTATAGCAGTGCCTGGCCCAAGGTAGGTCCAAATACCTATTCGTGGAACGAATAAATTTATTTTCTAAATATACTCTGTAAGGTATTCTTCCTTTACGGACAAACTGAAGCTTTTATATGTGAAGTAACTTCAAGGTTACAGAATTGAAAATGGCAAAAGCATTCATTTATTCATTCAACAAATGTTTAGTGAGCAGCTGTTACTCTTGTAGGCATCGGGGTAGGTTTTAAATCTGAGGCTAATGATTTTAGAACTACACTATTTTTTCTCTCTTTTATTTCATATTCTTTTTAAGAATTACTAAATAATAGGATACATTCTTGCTGTAAATAATTCAAACATTAATATAGCTAGATAAGGTTAAATTCTCCCTTGACATTTATCCCACTTTACATTTCCCACCAAACACCAGTTAATCCCTAGAAGTAAATATTGTTTAACACACACACACACGCGCGCGCGCGCACACACACACACACACACGTACACACACACATATATAGAGAGAGAGAGAGAAAGAGAGGAGAGAGAGAGAGAGAAAGAGAAGAGCACACATATATAGAGAGGAGAGAGAGAGAGAGAGAGAGAGAGAGAGAGAGAGAGAGAGAGTTAGTTTATTTTAATCCTCACTCCCTCACTCCCTTACTTGTAGCCTGGGGAAGCCTGCTCTAGCTATAGTTCATATAACATTTCTTTGAGATCTTTTTGTATTAGCACATATGTATTTACCTCATTTATTTTAATAGCTTCATGTCATGCCATAGTTCGAATGTATCATAGTTTCTTTAAAGAGCTCCCACATTGATGGACCTTTAGGTTGATTCTGCCTTTTAATTATTACAAACTGGTGTGATAAATTCCTTGTACAGGAATTTTGTGTATTGAATGTGACTATGACTATTTCTTTAAAATAAAGACCAAAGCAGAATCATTGGGTTGAAGGGTATGTTTATTTTAATTTGGACAAGTATTGTCAAATAATTCCTCTAAAAAGCTTTACCAATTTACATTCCTACTAACAAGTATATGAAAATGCTTGTTATAATCAAGATATATATATTTTCATTATCTAAAAAAGTTTTTCTGGGCACCTTTGTATTTTCATCTCCACTCTTGTATTCTGATCCCAGGTAACCACTGATCTGCTTCCTGTCACAATAGATTATTTTTGCCTATTCTAGAATTTTATAAAAATAGAATGATACTGTATATAGTCTTTTATGTCTGGCTTCTTTGGCTCAGTATGATGATTTTGAGATTAACTCCTGTTGTCATGAGCACTATTAGTGTATACTTTTTTATTGCTATGAGTAGTATTACATTGTATAATTCTATTGTATGATTATACCACAATTTGTATATCTGTTCTCTGATTATTGGACATTTAGGTTGTTTCCAGTTTTTAGTTATTATGAATTAAGTTGCTATAAACATTTGCATGTAAATATTTTTGTAGACATGTTTGTTAACTTTTCATGAATTCCACCTTGAAGTGGAATTTCTGGGTCATGGGGTAAGTGTATGTTGATCTTTATAAAAAATTGCCAAATCATTTTCCAAAGTGCTTGTATCATTTTACACTACCACTAGAAATGTATGAGAATTCTAGTTGTCCCATATCCTCACCAACACTTAATTAGTCTTTTAAAATTTTACTCATTGTAGTGGGCATGTAGTGCTTCACAGTGTAAATTTAATTTGCATTTCCTTGGTAAGTAATAATGTTGAATGTCTTTTCATGTGCTTATGGCTTTTGTATCTCTTATTTGTGAAGTACCTGTTCCAATCTTTTGGCTATTTAAAAACCTAGGTTGCCTTAATGTTGAACTATGAGTTTGTTATAAATTCTGTATACATGTTCTTTGTCAGGCCATATTGCAATTATTTCTCCTAGTGGCAACAAATATTTTCTACTCTAGACAAATGAAAACATATTCACATACATATCTCAAAACAAATATTTATAGCAGCTCTATTCATGCTTGTCCCAAACTGCAAACAATCCAGATGCCCTACAGTGGGCGAATGAACAAACAAACTGTTGTGTATCCATGCAATACCCACTCAACAATGAAAAGGAACAACTTAATGCTATTTGCAACAACTTAGATGAGACTTAATGGCATTATTCTGAGTGAAAGAAGCCAGTCTTAAAGGTTACATACTATATGATTTCTTTAAAGTATAGCCTCAAAAACACTTAGTGAGAGAGAACAGATCAGTGCTTGGCAGGGTTTGAGAATGGACCTGGGGGTGACTACAAAGGGATAGCCTGAAGGAGTTTTTTTTGAGGTAATGGAAATGTTCTGCATCTTGATTATGGTAGTAGTTACATGAATCTAACTTGTAAATAATATTAAAATTCATAAATTGTACACCATAGGGAGGCTATTTTTGCTGTACATTAATTAAGAAAATGCTGTAAACGAAAAAGCAAATCAATAAATATTTAAGAGTATATAGGTACCTATGAATATTGGTTTTTGAATGCAGGAAGATGTGACAGGAAATACACACATCTTTAATGCTGGTTACTTTGTAGGGAGAGGGAGCAAAAATGATCACCTTTTTCAATGTACACTTTTTGTATTGTTTCACTTATCTCAATTAGCATGTGGTGATTTCGAAATTTGAAAAACATCTACTAAAACGGAAAACATTAGGAAAATATTTAAAAAGAAGAAAAAAGTATTTGTTTTGTTGAGTACCTGATGATTTGTTAGAGAACAAGAAAAGTAAGTCTCTATTCTTGCAGAGCACAGCCTGGTAGAATTTAGTCCCCACATCTTACAGATGACTCATCTGCAAAATGTGATTATTACTAGTACTTGAACAATAAGATTTTTTTATGAGAATAAATACCTTAATAGATGCTAGAAGCAGTACCTGGCATAAATGGTAAATACAATGTAAGCTGCTATCAATATATCATCTATGAATTGGGAGGATAATTACCATCACATTGTTATGATGGTTTAAAAGTGCCTGTCATGTAACAGGGGATCAGTTAATGTTAGTTAGCATTTGGAGCCTGGATACTAGAATGTGAGGCAGAGGGCAAAGATCTGTCCCTGGTTTGGTTTCCTGTGTCTCCCCACTTATCTGTTTTTCGTGGACTTGCTATCTTTTTAATGCCAGGGAAGCCTCTCCTTTCTTCCCCTCCTCTGGTTGGCTTATCACCCTCCTTCAGGCCCTGATGCAGGGCGTTTCCCTCTCAGGCTGACACTTGACGCCTTGCCTACATCTAGCTTAGCACAGAAGGACATACTTACCTTGGAGAGTGTGGGTGAGATATACACAGTACTGTTGGACCTGAAGGTGAGCCAACCTGGGAGAAACGTAATTTCAGAGGAGGGCAGGAATTGAAAAGTATTGGAGGGGAGGTAGCCCTGGAGGGTACCAGGAATCTTTAAGGGGAGTGAGGGAATTGGGGGAAATACACAGGGATAAGGGAAAAGGATACTTAAATTCTTTTTCTCTAAACAGGCAGATGGCCCTTCTTCAGGCTAATAAAGATCTCATTTCCACAGGAATGAAGGAATTTAATGTTCTGCTGAATCAGCAGGTAAGCCCAGGCACTCTGTTTCAAATGACAGGCCTGCTTTGTTGAGGGGTGGGTGAGGTCAGAGAAGGGAGGAAAATTGGGAGCTGGGAGAGTAATGGTAGAATTGATAGAAACAATTAGAGACAGGGAATATAAATCAGAGAAAAGAGGACGTCAGAGTTTGTGGGTTATTCTGGAATCATATTGCTGACCACATTCTCCTTTACCTACCTCCCTGTCCTTCCCGCCCAGGTTTTCACTGATCCTCCTATCTCTGAAGAAGCCATGGTGACTGTGGTAGATGACTGGGTGAACTTCTACATCAGCTATTACAGGCAACAGGTGACGGGAGAACAGCAAGAGCAGGACAGGGCTCTGCAGGAACTTCGGCAAGAGCTGAATACTTTGTCTACCCATTTTCTGGCCAAATATAGGGCCTTCCTAAAGTCCTTATGAGCATCCAAATCACCCACTGCTTTTCTCCTCACTCGGAGACCTAGGCCTGCATCTGTAAGAAATCCTTAAATTCTGCCTCTGTATTCTTTAAGTTCTCAGGCTCTGTTCCTTTTGGGTGTTACTCTGTCTTGGCACCTCAATAAAGAACAACATTGGTTTTGCTGGTCCTCCTGGCTCTTCTTCGATTGTCAGTTCCTGATTTATGGAGGCATTTGGTTCCTTTTCCTTCAGTCCTGCTTCCTAGATATAATCTTGGAGATTTGATTAAGTAACCGTTAGGAAATACAGGCAAGCACTAAAGAGAAAGTTCTGAGGAGAGGAGTCATTAAAAAAAGGGAGATAAAAATTTTCCAGAAATTGTGGTCCTGTGACACACTTGTCTACAAATAAGTTGTTGGAAGTCTCCCAGTCTTGTTCATTCTATGCTAGGTGGAATTAAGAGTCCACCCACTTCTATTTTCCAATCTCCTGCCCTACCTTGAACAAAGTTCTAGATCTTCTGACGCTAAAGATCACCACACAATACTTCCCTGGAGCATTGCTGTGATTTAGAATTGGAAGGGATCTTGAGAACCGTTTAGCCCATCCCTTATTTTTCAGATGTGAAAACCTTTGGCTCCATCATTCCTAAACCCCAGATCTCAGGATTGGGAAGCCTAGATTCCTGCCCCAACTTCCCTGCAGCTCCAACCTTTTCCTGTCATTCCCTTTCTCTTTGACCTCCAGACTCTAAGCTGCCTTATTTTAGGGATCTGGGGGTGGAACCAGAGGCAGGCCAGGCTTATGAGCTTTTAAAAAAACAAAATGAAGCTGCTAGAATGAGGAGGGAGGGGCCCACTGGCTGTGTTATCTCCATGGAAAGCCTAGGGACACAGGGGGAGGGCTCTCAGAGGCAGGAGGAGTGGGCCTTGAAGGCAGGGAGCACCAATCAGATGCTGTTCCTGAGGCGGGCCCAGGAAGGGGACTCCACTCTCTCCCTGTCATTTTCCGTGTTGTCTTTTCAGTGGGAAAGGTTTGGGACTGAGTATGGTTGTTTTCTCAACTTCCAGCAAGCTTTCGCTTTGGATATGTGCACTCCCACCTCTGATTTTTGGTAGTTGAGTCTCTGTAGTCTGCTTCAAGGTCCAAAGGGAACTAGCTCAGTGCCCCCAACCATCCTTCTAAACTTGTGGAAGACCCACCAAGAGAATGGTAGCCTCCCAGGGAACCAGGCAGTGAGCAACTCTGAGGTGCGGTTGGTGGCTTTGGCAGAGGTCAGGGCCTTTCCACTGCATCCCTGAGGAAATCTCAGCCCATTAATGGGGACCCAGGGCTTGCTTAGGTGGGACAGTAGTCAATAGCGTCCCCTTTGCAAAAGACTTGGACAACTGTGCATGGGTGGAGCAGAGAGACCAAGGAACCATCTAAAGAAAGTATTAGATTTACTCCATTGTTATACAAGATGCAGCTTAAAAGAATGGTAAGAGGCCACTCAGGCTCAATTAATGAAAATAAACTTTCCATAAATTCGGAAGTATTCAGCCTTGGAAACTGTGGGCTGATAATTTCTCAAATGCTCAAATAAAGGAAGATGATCAATTATTAGGTATGTTGTAGAAGAATGGGAAGTGCAACATCTAAATTTCATTCCAACTATTTCATAAGCTGTATGAAATTGAGAAATTACAAAGCATTTTTTTTAGGAGAGAAACCTGTTAAACTTTACTGCATGTTCTCATGTTCTGATCACCCAAGCATCTGGTCTTAAATCTACAAAGAAGTAAAATTTGGAATATTTTGATTTTTCAGAGATAATAGTACAAACCATCAGGATCTGATGGTTCATAATAATAAAATTAACATTACTGGACTAACTCCCACTTTTACCTTCGTTTCACCCTTACTCCAGCCTTATAATTGAAGCTAATCCTACACCAGCACTCAACTGGACCCTCACCCTGGCCCTGAATCTCAACCTCACCATGACCCTCATCATGACCATAAACTTGACCCATACCTGATCCTGACCCTAACTCTGGTGCTTATATTCCACTTACCCTGATTTGAACATTACCTTTTCTCTAACCCTGATCTCACTCTGATTCTACAATGATCCTCACACATACCTTCATTATGCCTTTGAAATTGCCTTGAATCTGAAACTTGAGCTGAACCTGAACCATACTCTCAGCCTAACCCTCCCTCGCCCTGCCAGGTTGGCACCTCCCTGATCCTGATCATAATCCTATGCTGAAATTTACCCTGACCTTCATCCTGAGCATGACTCTGAACAGTTGCCTCACACTCCTGACTCTTCATCCTAAGCCTGACACTGATTCCCATACTGACCCTCACAATGACTCAACTTAACCTTGAGCATGATCCTTATGTTCATCAAGACCCAATAATTCACATGGGCCCTCACCCTGAACCTGACACTGATCTTTATCCTTAAACTTACCTGATTCTGACTTTTCTCCTGACTGAAGCCGACCTCATACCGTGATTCTTACTCTAAAAATAACTTTTCTCTTACCATGTCCTGAACTTGACCCCAAACATGATCCTCACTCTCATACTTACCTTTGAACCTAATCTGTCAACCTAACCAAAACCTCACTCTAGCACTAAAACAGACCCTCATCATCACTTTGTTCACGAACATAACTCTGACCCTAATTGTGAACTTTACCCTTACCAAGACACTGAAATTCAAATGGACCCTTATCTCTACTCTGACCATGATCTTAACTATGAACCTTTGCCTCCCTTTATTCACACTGTAAACGTGACCTTCATCCTCACTCTCACCCTGACAGTGATCTGACCCTCATCACGATCTTGAGCTTGACCTGACCTTCACTCTCACCCAATTCTTATACTTACCTTCACCTAGACCCTCAACCTGATTCTGACACTGACCATATCTCTGACATTGATAATCATCCTGACTGGACACTTGATGCTTACCCTGACATGAATAACTCAGAAGCTCATCCTCAATTATGTGGGTGTCTCTCGCAATGACCATGACCCTGACTGTGACCCTCATACTGACTCTTCCATTGGCCATCTATTTGACACTGACCCTGCTTCTGATTCTGACCTTCCTCCTTACCCTAACTTCTACTTGACACTTACTCTGACCCTCACACTCTTCCATATCTTCATTGTGATCTAAATTCTGACTCTCAATATGACCATCACCATGACTCTGACCCTGAAGCTAATCCTGACATTGATTCTAATTCTCATCCTTATCCTGACCTTGAAATGGTACCTCAGACTGACTCTGACAATGATCACTATCTTGACCCTGATTATCACTTCACCTTGATTCTGACCATAATGACCACACTGGTTCTGATTGATTATATTTATTTCAATCTTATTAGGCTTGACCACAAATAAAATTTCCTTTTCATAAAATTTCTTTTTCATAAAATTTCTACAACTTTCTATGTCCATTTTAGTTTATCTCTTGGTCTCTTACTCAATTCAGAAATAATCAGGACAAAATTACTTCATTTCTCTTAACGAAAGTGTATCTCTATTCCTTATTCCTTCTACTGCCAAAAACATGCACTCTATCCTTGAAAACTTTAATTTCCCATGAAAATGAAGAAGTAAGCAATTGTAAACTGTCTGTTACACCAGTATTCCTTTAGACTGACAAATTTATGAACACATTTCATAATTTCTAGAAACATTTATTATAACAATATTTCTAATAACATGTTTACTAATAGACGCAAACATCTTTAGTTCCCCTACAATAAGAAGCAAAAAAGTAGATAAACCTATGTTCAGTAATTCATATTTCACCATTTTTATATTATTTGGAAATGCTCTAGATATTCAATAATTTCTATATTTTGACTTAACTTAGCAAAACCGTAAGGTTTCAAATTACCAAAATATTTTGGGAAATTATTTTGAAGTATATATAAATCATAACAAATATTTATTTCTGAAAAGTTTCATCTTAAAATCTTTTTATCCTACTTACATTTATTTAATTTACCTGCTGTTAACAAGTATGTTCAGATTACTTATGAAAATTTCATCATACCAAGTTATTTTTCTTGCTGACAAATTTTACAGCAGACATAAAATAAACTTTTTTGACTGATAAACCCAGTTAGAATAAAAGTATTATATTTAATTCTGATAACTCTAAGGACATGCCCATTTAACCAAATCAAACTCAAACCAGCTTTAATAATAGAACTGATGGCAACCCTTACTGTGCCAGCCAGTTCAGAAAACATTTGACTCTTACTAAAAAACATTTGACAGCAATCAATATCCATATTCTTCAGATGTGAAACACAGGCTGAGATGAGAAGCCACTTGCCAGAGGTAGTGGCAAGAGACAAGGCCAGAGGAAGAACCTGGAGATGTCTCCATACAATCCCACAGAGTTTGTTCCTTCATCCATGTGAGGCACAGAGAGTCAGTCAACAAGAGAATTCCCACAAGGACTGCAAGGGCACCAGGCTGTGGTAGGCACATGTTAATTTCTATAGCACTTGCTTATTTAGCTGCTCATAGAACCTCTGATCTCCCATCTCATTGGAGCTCAAGTCTGCCCCTGAAGAAGATGGCACCAATGTCTCCATTTTACTAAGGAAGAAGCAGAGAGGAGAGGAGCCTGGACCCAAAGCTAAAGTCCAACAAACCCCAGAGGCATGTTTTTTCTCCCATCACTCAACCTCTTTAGGCAGCAAAGGGCTGGGCCACAGGGAGAGTGTAGCAATAAAGTTAGGGTCTCTGCAACCATGAAGTGTAATGCCAGCATGTGCTAGATATGCATGATAACTTGCAGTCCAAAGTAGGGTGCAGAGAGTGTACTGGATGGTGGAGTGGTTAGCTCTAGCAGGTGAAATAACAGGTAACTTCAGTGTGTTTCTTTATATCAATATTTTCTAATCTTTCCATAAGGAGCAAGTATGTCGTGTATCATTTTTGTAAGTTTTAAATAAATTCCATTCCTCTGGAACTGTATCCACCTGCCCAGTCACCCAATCAGCAAGCATTTACCGAGTGCTCACAGTTGCAAAGAGGTACAATGTGAAAAAATCATAGTGAAAAAATCATAGCTCCTGACCTTGAAGATTTTGGCCCGAGAATAGAATGTGGTCAGTTATAACCCGAGCTGCCTAAGAATGTTCCATATGG